GAGGCACTAGGTTTGATCCTCAGCACCACATAAAAATCAAATAAAGGTATTATGTCCACCTACAACTAAAATATATATATATATATATATTTTAAAAAAGACTATGAGCAATTTCTTTTTTTTAAGGCATCATTACACAATTCAATGTCAAGGTTTTAATGATGTCCAATATATTTTTGTAAAAAATAAAAAATAATGCCGTTTTATATACTATTATATTATTGAAAACTGAAAAAAATAAAATAAATTTTTACATGAAAGAGATAAGTAAAATTCCATTTTATTTATTTTTACTTTTTTCAAAATGTCTAAAATAAAAGTTAATCCTATCCCAGGGACATCTTTTTTCTTTTTTAAAGCAGTTCCTGGAGAATTCAGATGTACCTGAGGCAGCAGAAATAACTGTTTAGGCCCATGACTGACCATGCAAAAAATTAAATTAAATTAAATTAAATTAAATTAAAGAATCTAGGAATTTCACCTGGGATTAGATTTCGAGTTTGATGCTAAAAAAATTATTCTCAAAATCTATCAGAAAGAGGCTGGTGTTGTGGCTCAGTGGTAGAGCGCTTGCCAAGTCTGCATGAAGCACTGGGTTTGAACCCCAGCACCACATAAAAAAACTAAATTAAAAAAATAAAGACATTGTATCCATCTACAACTAAAAATATTTTTTTAAAAATCTGTCAGACATTAGAATCAAACAATGATTGATGTATTTTTAAAAAAAAATACCTGGGGCTGGAGTTGTGGTTCAGTGGTAAAAGCACTTTCCTAGCATGTGTGAAGCAGTGGGTTCGATTCTCAGCACCACATATAAATAAATGAATAAAATAAAGATCCATCAACATCTTAAAAAAAACAAAACAAAACAAAACAAAACAAAAAACCTTATATCACACCACAGACCCAACAAGGAATCAGGATCTCTGAGAACAGGCCCTTCCAATGATCATTTTCAACATGTACCCCTGGCAATATTCACGTAAAGGAAGGAAAATCTGAGGCTAGTAGGCTACTACATTTATTTGTGAGGAAGATAAAGAGTTTACAGACTTAACAGCATCTGTGTTTTGCACCTACAAATCAGAATGTGGCTTTTCAGGGAGAATTAATGATCTTTCCAAAAATAACTCAAGAAAGAAGTCATTTTGAGCAGAGAAAACAGGTAATGGGAAGGCTACAAAGTCCTAAACAGGAGTCTCAGAGGCCTTAAATGTCTCAGGGGCCACACAGGTAATACACAAGTAGCCAGATATAATAGACAACAAGGAGTGGAAGGGGCTTGTCCAACTGCAACATTCCATCCGGATCCAAGGGGCAGCCATTACTGAGCTTCAGGGAAACAGAGGCAATGTGTTATATCTGCTCAGATCTTCAGGTTTTCAAGAGAAATTGAAAGTCCTAACATTTAAATGGTGGCAACAAATATTAAAAATAAATAAGTAAATGCATATGTACATACTTATGTGTCAACACAATGTGGGCTCAACAAAAACATAATCTGGGGGTAGTATAAAGCCAATTTTCAAAAAATTTTTAATGAACAAAAATTATACATATTTATATATCCAACATGTTCTAAAAATACATATACATTATGGAATGACTAAATCAAGCTGCTTAAAATCTGTATTAGCTCACATACTAATGTTTTTTCTTTGTGATAAGATGTCTCAAATTTATTCATCCTGTCTAAATCCATTCATCCTAACTAAAAACTGGTATCCTTGGACCAACATCTCTCCAGCCACTTTCCTCTGACACCCCCCACAATCATCTGACTACTCTCTACTTCTATGAGTTCAACTTTTTTAGATTCTACATGTAACTCACATCACATGATATTTGTCCTTCTGTAAGTATAGGCCCAATTTTTAAAATCAGGCCTAGATTTTTCAGCGTGCATGTGGAAGAAAAAAAACAGTTTAATGGGACCAAAGACCCTGCTGTAAGAGCAACTAACCATCAAAATTTCTTCTGCAAGGAATTAAAGGCCTTAACTCTGAGCTTGTGTGTTCTTTCTCTCTTTCTTTCCTCTGTCTCTCCTGGGGTTTTTTTGGTTTCTTTTTTCAAGATCTCTGCCTGAAAAATCAAGTGTTCTGTGTTTCTCACGTCTTAAATTTTTATAGCCTCACAGAATATACAGGTGAATAAGTATATACCTTATTTATATATTTATAACACTACATAACTGGACCAAAGAACAGCCTGTCATTCATAAATCTAATAACAAGTTTATTCCAATTTTGGAAGTTTATCCCAGTCTACAGCTTAACATAACCTGCAGTAAGTTTGGTCACCTCAAAG